CACACACACACACACACACACACACACACACACACACTTGGGGAAAGTGACCAGCCTGGCTTCAGGGTAGGGTCCATCTGGGAGGAGCCAGGGCAGGCCTTCTTTCCCTAGCATTCCCTAAACTACTCATTCACCATGCTTTGGGCTGGATATGTTATCCGGTCCAGGCAAAATCAATGACCCTGAAATGTGAAGGAGGGAAGCAGAGGCCCTGGCAGCCTCCGACTACCACCCAGTATGGTTAGGGGCCAAGCCTGGGAAGGCATGCCCCTTCTTTCAAGGCAGCTTTAGGCCAAAATCACCTAGTCTCTAGTGCCAGAGGCAGCTACCAGAGATCAGAGAATGGCTTTTTGCCTTCATGGTGGGGGAAGGAGAGAAGATAAGAATCAAAGCAGAATTTCCCCATTTATCCCTGACAGAAAAGCCCCTGATGCAATCATCCTGGGTGGTGGCAGATGGCTCAGGTTGAGGACAGGTCATCCTGACCTCCAACAGAATGTGTTCTCCTGCCCAGCCATCAGGGCTGAGCTTTCTGGACCTTCTATCTGGGTGGTCCTCCCCACACCCCCTTCCCCTTTCCTCAGACACATTTAACTATTTAGAAAGCAGCATACAAAGACCTGGCGGTACATAAGTACCTCCTTAGGTGTAGGGATGCCTGTGGATTAAAAAAAGTGTACTCTTTCCAATTCTCTGGAATTAGAAACAGCTTCTAAACTAGCTTGCGCAGACCACTAGATTTCTCTTGAAGATCCAACTAAACAGAGTTCCCGTTCTTTCCACTGTAGGTGGGAGTGGGATAGCAAGAGTAATGGGGAGAACTGGGAAGAAGTGCAGCCTCCAGCCTTGGGAAAAAGCTTGGAGGGCAGTCTTGGCAGTCAGCCCCCTTACAGGCTCAGGGAGCTCTTGCTAGCAGGTAGGGGAGAGGTATTACTGAGGGAGGGGTTCGTGGAGCAGAAGCCATCAAATTTTGTCTGATTTGGCAAGTTCTCAGAACCCTGTTCCTCAACACCTCCCCAGTCCTCCCTGATTTGGCACTGAAGGCCCCCTTCCTCCTCTCCTCCACTTCCCTCATGGAGCATCACTGGGAGAGGAAGGGCAGATTCTGTTAACTCTTCTGCCTGCCTGGCTCTTCTGGCTTCTGTCCCATGGAGAGGTGGCTGGCCAGTGGACATTCAGTTGCTCACTAGATTTCAAACCTCTGTAGATGCTGCCAAAAGAAAACGAAAACTGTCCCTGCCTTCTGGCAAACAAATAGAGCAAAGAGAAGAGAAACCAAAGCATCTTGGGCACCTAGCCAGTTCTGGAGTTGTTGGAGACTATAGTAGCAGTGTCCTGAGCTGGCTGCTCCCAGCTGGGACTCAAACTCAGCAAGGCCTTCCCCTGGGGAAACTTCACCTTGTCTGTTTTCTCCAGCTCCTTTCTTCTCTTGGAGCAGGAACTGTTCATGGGTTTGTGCAAAGGAAGGCAGAGAGGCTTTTCCTCTACCTTACTACTGTCAGGGTTCCAGGGGCTCAGTGTGGAAGATCATAAAGGGGTATGGGAAGGCTCTGGGACAGTTTAATCAACCCCTTCTCTTCCCCCACCTCACCGTCCCTCCAAACCCATCCACCTCCACTCCCTTTCTGTGGTCAAGGAGCAGTCTTCTGGCCTCTTGGGCTACCCAGAACCCAAGAGTCAGAAAGCTCTGAGAGAGGGGAATAAAATCTAGAAACAGGAAGGGCTTTTAAATGTCACCAAGTCCAACTTTCCCATTTTGCAGATGTGGAAGCTTAGGGACAAAGGACAGACAGGATTGGCCAAAGCCAAACATTACAGAAGGTAGGTCTTCTTCCAATCAGGCCAAAACTGTCTCCAGCATCATCTGAGCCCCACAAATTTAATTTCAGTTCCAAAAGAGATCATCTTGGAGGAGGGTATAGCTCATAGTGGTAGACTGCATGCTTAGCATGAACAAGGTCGCGGGTTCAATCCCCTGTACCTCCTCTTAAAAAGTAAATAAATAAGCATAATTACCAAAAGAGATCATCTTGGGCACCACTACACCCCTTTACTCCCACCTCCCCTGTGGTCCTGTTGATTTCAGCCATTCTGTGGGCCATTTCAGCTCCTGTCTGATTAGTGCAAACTTTCAGCAACCTTGTCCTGACCAGGGGGAGGAACGTGGAACTCTAGAGCAACCAAGAAGGCTGGTGGAGGTGGAGATCCCCCAGGGTAGGAATGCTCATCTAGTCTCTCACAAGTTCAATGAGAGCAACTAAGATTCAGGAAAGATCACTCAAATGAACTTGAGAGACTTCAGATTTTTGAAGCAATGTAGAAACCAGTATTTCAAATCACTCTTTATAATTACTGCCACCCACAGTGAGCACATCAAGAGAAACCTTTACTTTGATAATTCTAGGGGGTGAAATCTCACCCCAGGAACCACTTTCATCTTCCACCAAACACCTGCAGGTTGTAAAAGCAGTGTAGGGAGAGGCAAGAGCAGAATGTACATGTATTTGAGAGTGGGGGTGGCAAAGGGAAGGTAGACAGGGCTCCAGAAGAGCTCTGAGTATTGAAATCTCATTTCTCAATTATCTGATGCAGGAGAGTCTGTATAGTCAGGATAGAAAGGAGTGCAGCTAGAGAAGAGTCAGAAAAAATTTCTAATGACGATGTAGTTGGTTCCTGGCTCTTCCATACCAGGTTGGGCAGACCTCACTAAGGGAAGGTAAAAAGGAGTCTGGCTTCTCTCAAACCATGGCTTCCTTTTATTGTTCTTGCCTCCTCTAGAACCTTGGGGATAGGCTTGTTGGCTGGGCAGGGGCTGCCTCCTGCTTGCTTTAAGGGTCTCTAAGTGACAATAGTTGAGCTAGAGAAATTGGTCAGAGACTGGAAGGGTGGGAATTGAATGGCAGGGGTTAGAGGGTGAGGCTGGGCGTGGGGTGGTGGTAGCGGCCAGGAATCTGTGTGGCAGGTATGGGGGCAGAGTAGGAAGTCTTCGGTTGAAGCTCAGAGGCCAGGCTGTCCAAACTGGCAGCTGTAGATAGGGAGCATCACATGCAGAGGCAGCAATGCCAGCAGCTAGGCCTATGGGTCTAAAAGCCTGATTAGGGTCAGGGACTGAAGTATGCCCAGGTCCTTTCAGGTGGGAGATGCTTTTACGGCCTAGGCTAGGCCAGCCAGTCAGAAAGGAGCCCTCCTAGAAGCTTTACCATTTGATGGCTGCAGCCTGATAACCTAGTGCACAAGAGCTAGGCCACTGTGTACTATCCTGTTCTATACGCTGGCTCTAGATGGTCTCTACAACATGAACACACACTGTGATCCCTGGAGCCCACCTGATGTGGAGCGTGGGACTACTCCCCAAGTCTCCAGTATGCCTTTGTGAGCCCTTCTTTTATTGGAAAATAAATACAGAGTCAAACAGGTGGGCCAGCCAACATCTGTAGTTCTGAGGGCCAAGAGGACGGAATCTGACTTGCTCAGAACTCATATCTCCATAAGCTGGTCATTCCCCACGATCACCTCATTCACTCGTTTGGCTACAAAAGAAAAAAGAAAAGGCTGTTTGAGAATTGGCAGCAAAAGATATCATTTCAAACCCAATTACTTCTGATTCTGTGTTCATAAACATTTAGTCCTCTCTGATGTGGCTCTGTGCTCTTGAGAAGCTCTTGGGAATACAACTTGTCAAAAGGACTATGGGACCCAACACCTTCCCACACAGGAGGA